CAGTGGTCTCCTTTAAAAAGCAGCTAGAACTCACCTGTTCAAGCTGGCTTTGGTGTGGCCTTCATCACCACCCTCTCCTTTTTCTGCTCTTTTTACCAATTCCACCTTTCTTAGGATTCACTGATTTCCCTCTTTCCTATTCATTTACTCTCTCCCTTTCCTCAAAATTTTATTCACTATATTTTTCTCATTTTTACATTTTTTAATAATTCAAAAAGCTCTTTTTTATTTTTAAATTGTTTGTTTTTGTGAAGCAATGCAAATAGTTTTCTTACATTTTTCTTTCTTGAAGCGTAGTACGCAGCACTTAGCCGCCATTATAGTAGTGCATTTCCCCCGGCCATGAAGCGTAGCCACACATTGCTTATGTCTTAAGTCTATTTTTTACACTCTACATTTCCAGAGAACTTAATTTCAGCTGTTAAGATTGGGCCCGACTTCCAGTAACTTTCAAAATAAAAAATAAAAATTCAAAAAACGTACGCCATTTCCTGTGAAACCTGTGTAAGTGAGGTAAAGAGAACTGGGGAAAAAATAAAAACACATTTTTGGATGTCTACTGTCATCTCATGAAATCACATGTGGTCCAGCTATGTGGAACGCTCTCACTGCTGCTTTGCATCTAAAACCATCCTGGTTGGAAGGGAGCTTGCAAGTAAAACATGTCCATTACGTTGTGGGCTGCTTTTGCATCCAGCAGAAAGGCTGGGTTAGACTTTTTTGTTCATTTATCAGTATGACACTCAGCTCAAGATCAGACTTGCTTTGCTGTTTTAAAAACCAACAATGCTGTAATATGAACCCAGCTCACCACTGGACCAAAGGAAATAACTGCTCAAACCAACAACAAATGAAAATGTTGTAAAATTATTGTTTGAAATCTTTACTTGGGGTCTTTTTTACATTTTCATTGTAAGGCAAAGTGTTCAGTTTTAACATGAATAAGAAGTCAAACTTTCAGTGGAATACCAAGTCTCATCTAGCGGCAGCCAAAGCAGGTCAAAACACAGTATGGACCTGCTTTCAAGAGCTATTTTCATTTGAATTCATAAACTTCTTTTGAGAAGCCATTTACAAACACAGTTTTTAATACCACAATCTAATGCTCATATATCCTGGGCATACATTGTTTATTACAGTGTTTAACATATACAGTACTACTGTGAGATCACAATGGTTGTTTTAAGGTATTTGCAGGAATTACAAAATAAACCCTGTAATTTCTGCTGGAAAAAATAAAACTTGCAAAAAAAAGCATGAATTTTGATGATTTGAATGTTTTTTTATGTAGGCTAAAAGTCTGCAAAGCATAAACAATAAAGCAAATAATCAGCAGACATTTAATCTCAAATTACCTAAATAACCTAATAGGACACAATAGGAGCCCCCTCTCTCTCTCACACACACACACACACACACACACACACACACACACACACACACACACACACACACACACACACACACACACACACACACACACACACACACACACACAATCCTGTGTGCTGCAACCATGAGCGTTATTTGGTCTCCAGTCCTGTAAGTGTAGACCTCACAGACTTGCAGATGCTGAAGACAAACCACTCCTCATCCTTCTCTGCTTTCATGTGGGACCTATAAAATGGCCAGCAGCAATGGTGGTCAATATTTCGCTCATAAATCTTTTGGTCTCCTAATAGAGACAAAACATAGCTGAGCATCTGAGTTGAAAACCACTGAAGGGGTGGGAAAATTTGTTTCACCTTACCCTTGGGACACTCTTGGCTGGAGGATCAATTTGTTGTGCAGGCAAATGATCCTTCTCCCTGTTTCTCATGTTTCCTTGTAACATGGTGAATTGAAATTATTCTGCACTTGTGGCATGTGCTGTAAATTACTCCAAGGATAAGAGATCACCTCTGCTGAGTGGAAACTTCCTCCATGCTACAAAAGGAGATGTCAGAAATAGACTGTTAGTTAGAGATAAACAATGTCTTCAACTGTTTTCTAACCAAGACAAATCAGGGAGGAAAGGGAGAATGTCATCACTCCATCAGCCCAAATAAGTTTAAAAAGTATTATTCTATTGAATCTCTTCATTTTTTATGACAGCTCAACTTCTTTTCCACTAATGGAAAAAAAAAACTTCATTAATCAAGTTCCAACTTTCAGTTGACAAATCAGCTTTGCAGGAGAGAGCCATGTCATGGACCATTTATTTTCAATCTCCACCATCAATTTTCAATCAGATTGAGATCCAAACTTTTCGCTGGCCACGGCCAAAGTTTTAATTCTTTTTGCTTCATTGGCAAAATGTATTATTCACCTGAAAAATGACTTCATCTTCACACTTAATTTCAACTGGTGGCATCCACCTGGCATCCTGTGAACGGTTTTCCTTGCCCTTCCTGTAGATGTAAGCTCTGCCACCTCATTTTATTAATATTTGAAATCATGCTCTTATCACCAGTGACTGTAGGAATTTGCTTTCTTCAGGTGGTTATTTTCATATACTTGATTGTACGTGTACCAAACAAAAATTCTGGCACCATGTTACTCAATATTACTTTTATATTTGCTGTTCTCTAGGTAAACTTTTACCTCTTCAGCTGATTTCCTACTGCATGTTTACAGCCAACAGCTTCTATTTCAGCCTCTTTCTTTTAATTTCCTTTGGTGAGCATTTCCTATTTTCAAATATTATTGCTTTTTTATTCTTTTTTTCATCTTTCTCTTCCTTTCCTGAGCCTGTTTTGAGTCTCATTTTCAAATCCACCTAACAAAAATAGCATGCAAATTCCATGCTGGATTACTTTATAACATTATTCCTATAATAATTTTAGATAAGGTCTACATTTTCCTTATCACCTTAAAGTAAAACATATTCCCTTCACACAGTTTAGCAATCAGAATAGAATTCTAAATATTTCTTGAACATAACTCATTTAAAAAGGTTGTTATGACTTTCTTTGAGGGGAGTGTTAAGAAGAGGATAAGGTCTTTTGAATGTGACATTCCAGACTTGGCTCACATCTTTAACTGAGGCTATATAAAAACTCTCATATAACCTTTCTTTCTACTGTATTACCATGGCGAGTGCTGAGGTAGACAGATTATTTCATTCCAACAGGAGCTCGGAATGCTGGGAATTTTGTTGTCCTTGAGAAACAAAAACTGAAGTTGTGAAAGGCTAGACCACATCCTCATAATAAAAACCAAACTGTTCTGGAGGGAGGGGAAGGGGGTTATTCTGCTGTTTTACTTCTAAGATTATAAACTAAATGAAGCCACATTTAACCCTCTCAGGCTCAAAATAAGTTTTGATAAGGGACAAACACCTAAGTCCTTCAGGGGTACTTCCATCCATCCATCCATCCATCCATTGTGTGAACCTGCTTTTTCCACGTAGGGTCGCGCGGGGGGGGGGGGGGGGGGGGGGGGGGGGGGGGGGGGGCTGGTGCCTTTCTCCAGCAGTCAATGGGCAATCAGGCGGGGTACACCCTGGGCAGAGAGCCAGTCCATCACAGGGTAACACAGAGACACACAGGACAAACAATCACACACACACACACACTCACACCTAAGGACAATTTAGACAGGACAATCAACCTAACAGTCATGTTTTTGGACTGTGGGAAGAAGCCGGAGTACCACGCATGCACAGGGAGAACATGCAAACTTCATGCAGAAAGATCCCAGGCCGGGAAGTGAACCTCCTTGCTGCAAGGCAACAGCTCCAACCACTGCGTCACAGCGCAGCCCCTCCTTCAGGGTACTTCTAAGTTAAAAATGCTTATGAAATATGCATGTAGAGTAACCAGGTAGGTAGGTTTTAACATTGCAAATCTACAACACCTGCCTCCAGAGGGTTAAACCTGGTTAACAGGATGCCACTTTTTGCTACAGACATCAGAATCCATGTAAGATTTAATACTGCTATAATATGTAGTTTGAACATTGGGACTGTACAGACCTCAGTGGTGCCTCTCCTTAAGAAAGGGGACCAGAGGGTATGTTCCATCTTCAAATATATCACCTCCCTCAGCCTCCATGGCAATATTATCAAATTTCAAATCCACGAGAAGCAATGTGGTTTTGCCCCGGTTGTGGAACAGTGGATAAAGTAATTTACTCTTGTAAGCACTTCTAGATGTTAATGGTAGTTTGCCCAAAGAGAGTTATTGTGTTTTGTTGACATGGAGAAGGTTTAAAACTTGGTCCTATTCTCCCGTTGGGGTAGTTCAGGAGTTTGGGCTTCCAGTTCCCTACTTTGTTTTCTGTTATTCAGTTATTGTGTCAAATAAAACCAATCCTAAAACATAATTGTACTTCTTTTCTTTTCTCTTTCTTCTCCAACGCCAATTAACCATTTTGTGTCCTTCTACGGCAAGCCTGAAGGACAACAGACATCAATAACAAAGTTTGCATTTTTTCATTTTTGCAAATAAAAGTTGACAATAAAAAAGACGTCATTAGCAACACAACAGACTCCGAGATTTTGAGGTTTTCCCACTCAAAGGTCTGACGTGTTGCGTAAAAACTCATCTTAGAATAGTTTTATGTCCTACATGTTGCTACCAGGCGTACAGTGTGAGTAGTCACGTCGCATACAAGCATTGGCCATACAGTGTGAGAACATGACTGTCATGTTTGGGGGAAGACGTCTAACCCAAGATATGCAGAACACAACACAGACCAAGAACGGGGTGAAAATAAAAATAATTTTATTTAGTGAGAAGGAAACTGAGGATGCACAGAATTGTCTGTGGCTGGTACAGCTAAGGGAGCTCTGCGTCTGGAGGAGGGAGTACACTGGTGAGCAAAAGTTTAGTTCCTGAAGTCCATTTCTAGTTAGAGTAGTTGAGCAGAACTTACAGTAGGATGTGAGTTGCTGGCTGGAGGAGGGAGCAGAATGAAAGCCGGGGGAGCGCAGGAGAGGGAGCACAGGTGGAGATAAGTAGGGCGTCCTGGCGGATGGGGGCACTGAGAGTGATGTCAGAGAAGAGGTATGGAGATCGGTGAGTGGTTCGGTGTTCTGAGTATCCAAAATCCTGGAGTCCTGAGGTAAGTATCCAAAGCTTTGCGACCAGAGAAAAAACACAGGAATCCTGAAGGAGGGAATAAATCCAGAGTCAGCTCCTGTCGGTTAGCAAAAAATCCAAAATGTAAAATACCGAGAGCAAAAACGCTACAAATAACATTAGTCCTAGAGATCCTAGAGATAAGCTCAAGTGGCTGGGTACTACCAAGCTGAGGCAATCTTCTGGCGTTGAATTGTGTCCTCCATCCACCTTAAGTAGGAAACACCCCGCTGATTGCTGATCAGGAACAGCTGGGCACTCCCTCTCCTGGCAAGAGACTCAAAGATGTTAAGGTGAATGAGGAGTACTCACCCCGGCTCATGACAGTACCCCCCCACCCCCACCCCCCACCCCCCTCCAGCGGACGCCCTCTGGCGTCCTAACTGAATCTTCACAATCACCGATGAGCAAAGGGTCTTCTATGAATGAGCGAGGAACCCACGAACGTTCCTCTGGTCCGTGTCCCTCCCAGTCGACCAGATCCTGTACGCCCCTCCCACCGGGTCTAGAGTCCAGAATCCGGTTGACAGTGTACATCAGCCCTCCCATGTAGAGTCTAGCTGGAGGGGGAGGTGCAGGAACCGGGCATAGTGGACTGGAACCTAGAGGTTTCACCAAAGACACATGGAACACTGGATGTACTTTTAGAGTTCGTGGAAGGTCCAGACACACGGTGGAAGGCGTTGGTACATCCAGTATCTCGAAGGGTCCTAGAAATCGAGCGGTGAGCTTGTGGTTGGCTGCCTTCAGAGGAATGTCTTAGATGACAGCCAAACCCGTTGACCTGGGGAGTAAGCAGGCGCTGGTCGCCGCCGGCGATCAGCCAACTACTTATTCCCGCATGCAGTTCTATCCAGAGCTGCTCGGGTAGAAACCCATGCACGCCTGGCACCCTTGAGGAACTGCGGCACCGTAATAGCTGTAGAAGGCTGTAGAGGAAACAGAGAGTGCTGGTACCCTAATGATGCTTCGAATGGTGACTGACCTGTGGCTGTGGATGTGTGACTATTATGGGTGTACTCCACCCAGGCGAGATGAGAGCTCCATGTTGTAGGATGGGTGGAGCACACACAACGAAGCATCGCCCCCAGTTCTTGATTCATGCGCTCACACTGGCCGTTAGTCTGAGGATGGTGGCCAGATGTGAGCGCGACACAAGCCCCCAGGGTTTCAGCGTAGTCCTTCCAGACCCGTGCCACAAACTGGAAACCATGGTCTGACAAAATCTCCTCCGGAATGCTGTGGAGATGAAACAAATGTTTTATGACCAACTGAGCTGTAACGGCGGTGAGGGGAGAGATTTTAAAGGGACAAGATGACATGCTTTAGAAAATCTGTCAACAATAGTGAGAACAGTGCTAAAACCATGAGAGACAGGCAAACCACAAACAAAGTCCAGTGCAATATGAGACCACAGCCGTGAGGGCGCGGGTAGGGGGTTTAAAAGACCTGCAGGCGTTCTGTTATCCCCCTTCTGCTGGGCGCATGTGTGACATCCTGACACATAACTCTTAATGTCCTGATACAAGGAAGGCCACCAAAAAGTTCTCCGAACGAGCGCCACTGTGCGTCCTACTCCGGGATGGATGGAAAACTGTCCCGTATGGCCCCAATGGATTACCTTGCCGCGCATGACCTGCGGCATGAACAATCTATTCGGGGGTCCATTTCCCGGGTCAGGGTCGTTTCATTGGGCAAGGAAGCACCTGGTCCCTGATCTCCCAAATCACTCCTCCAACGACACACTCAGGAGGCAGGATGATGGTAAACTAAGATTTCTCTGGAAAATGGAGGACAGTTATTGTGACAACAAATCTTGCCATCAGTGATGATGATGAACAGGAGGAAGATGACATTGAGGCAGATCCTCAAATTTAAAATATTCTAAAATATTATAATAATCTATATGTGATCAGAAATAGTGTCTGTTGTTCAATACCTTTTTAAAATATTCCACAGTAATCTGTTTTGATAAAAATATTTGATATAGTTTAATAATTGTGGTATATTCTGTATTTTTGAACAGTGCTATAATGTTCTAAATTAGCTAGAATAGTCTAAAGTGTCTTATAATTATCTATGTAATTTAAAAATAATGTTCATGTTTTTTTTATTTTGGGATTTCTTTCATCAGTACAGGGCCAACATCCATATTTGATCACTTCGTTTCTCTGGTTTTCTGAATAAAAATAAATATTTTTGAAAATTGTAACAACAGAAATGCACTTTGGTTATGGACTACAATAACACCCTGTGGTTGAAAAAAATTATACATCAATGAGTGGCCTAGAAAGTGTTAAGGAGTTGGATTGGGGGGTTGGACCACCAACTAATTCCTGAGCATCGCCACAACTGCAGCTCACCGCTCCCCATGAGGATGGGTCAAATGCAGAGATGTAATTCTACCAATGTGTGATGACTAATGGGACTTTAACTTTGTTCAATAGTGAAGAAAACAAAAGAGAGAGTGTACAGTTGTTGGGTTGGCTTATGGTAATTAAATGATTATTTAAAATTTTTAATTAATGAAAGATAAAATGAGTTAGTGAGTAAGCTCCACACAAACCAGTGGATACATTCTGCCATTGTTGAACAAAGCCCAAATGTATAGACCTGTTTGTTTTTCTCCAACAAAGCACTTGCTGACAAATTAATTTCAGAGCCACCTGGACTTTTGCAACATCATCACAACTGTAACACCACCACCACCATTCGTCTGATCTGTGGAACTTTAAAAGGAAACCTTTGTGAAAAATCTTCAAAAATATACTAGTTTATTATATTGCTACTGTGTATAAAAGTGTATTTTCACTTGAAAACCGGAGATTTAAAAAAAAAAATATATATATATATATATATACATATATATATATATAAATGAAATGACTTTCATGAAACAGGAGAACATTTGCTAGAAGCACAATCCACACAGCTGTGCTTTGCATTTGGAGTAAAAACCAATTCCTGGCACACATGAGTGAGAGAGCCATGACGAACAAGGTCAGCTGCTCTCAGAGTGCTGGGTTTCCTAATTGAGTTTGAGCTGCTTTTGTACATTTTTGATCAAAGACAGTTGTTATGGTCAGGGCCATTTCTCCAGCAGAAAGTAAGAATCCTGATCCTGTTAGATGTGTTGGTGTAACCACCAGCGGCTTCACTCATACTGTGACTTTCACTTGCAACAATGTCAGCTGAGACGCTGAGCCTTGAATTTTGCTAAAGTGCTATTTTCTGGCGGAAATCAGGCTGTGTGTAAAATACAATTTCACTGGCATGAAGTCACAAAAGACTGGGACCTTTTTTTTTTTATTTCTCTGAGTTTTAAGTTTCTACATTCATCATGAAAAGCTTTAGAACTGGGTTGAATACCAAACATGCATTTGATGAAAATAACAGTAAACTTGTGGTGCTTTTGACGCTGAGAATGATTCCAGAGGATTTTTTTTCTTAACTCTTTAACGCCGGGGACACACCGGCCGCGGAAGCGCCGCGAAAATAGGACCGCCTTCATTCGGCGCCCTTGTTAAGCTATTCTATTGACCACATGGGTCGCCGAAGAGCTGCGAATCGCCTCGCGCCGGCGCTCCAGCCCGCGCCGTGCAGCGATCATTTCGGCGTCGGCTCTATTTTTTTCGTGAGCCGCGGGTGAATCGCGTCAATTCTGGCAGGAAGTCAAACCTAGACATAAGAGGCAGGCCGGTAAAGTTAACAAAATAAAGCATTTCAAAATAAAATTCCGCAATAGTCAAATGTGTTCGTAATCAGACACTGCAGAAAAACCACACGAACACGCACACACATACACACACATCGAACTTGTGTGCGTGTGTGACCACGTGAAGGGGTGTGTGGTTTTGGGTGTCTTTTCACCGGAGCAAACAGGACAGAGAGGCAGAAAGTCTGAGGCGAGCAGTTAAGATGGATGACTTTAAATTAATTATGGAAGTTGAGAAACACAAGGAGCTGTACAACCCCCGGAAAACATGGTTATTTACGTACCCATTTCAGAAGAAACTGCTAGGATACAGCTGCAGAATTGGAGCGGGTTGCAAGAGATTCAACTGGCAGAAACAACTCATAAAAGTCAAAGTTAAAGTCCCATTAGTTGTCACACACACAGGTGTGTGTGCGAAATTAATTCTCCGCATTTGACCCATCCCCTGGGGGAGTGGTGAGCTGCAGACAAGCCGTGCTCATACTATAGGTTCACACACACACACACACACACACACGCATGCATGCACGCACACACACACACACACACACACACACACGTACAAACACTCAAACGTAGAGGAAAAGAGCTGAGAAAAGGCAGAGAGGAAATGGAGGACGCCAAGTGTTTAAAAGAAAAACTACAGCGGAGCCGAGGCGCGCCTCGACTGGGGCGCGTCTGATCTGAACTGAGGAGCGGCGATCAGCGGCCGAATTTCGTGAGTGATTCGCTTCTCGGCGCTTCCGCGGCCGGTGTGTCCCCGGCGTAAAGGGGAACTGGGCTGTTTTGGCTTGCTTTTAGCACCCCCTAGTGTCAGTTTGTAGAACCAAAAGCAAAGCCTATCTCCTCGTTTTGTGTTTGTCTTTTTAACACTTTAATCTAACAGCTGAAACGTCTCTCCAGCCATCCTTAGTGTCTACAGGAGTGATTCATCACTAAATTAAACAAATCAGCTGTGTTCATGATCTAAAACATGCAGGAAACGTGCTGGAAGCAGACTGCAGCACCAGGTATATTTTTCCAAAATAGTCCCAACAGAGTCTCGCCAGTCTGAAGTTGCAAGTGGAATATTCTGGCCACAGAGGGGGGTGATAGGGGCTGGGTGGCCTTTCAATAACCCTGTAAGGGGTCATTTTGGCACATTCTAGCTCAAGAATATTATTGTAAGTATGAAGAAATGTGCCAAGAATTCCTTTAATGTCAAGGCAAAGCTATGAAAATAGTACGTATTTGTCATTCATTAGACTTTTTTATGTAAAAAAAATTAAGGTATTATAATAACTATCTAAAATGAAACATCATTTTAAGATAAACATGCTGGAATGTAATTTTATTGAACTTTTCATTTAACAATCTTCATGTTTCTATTTCATTCATTCTGCTTTGTGTTGTACTGCTGTTATTTTACCAAAGATTTGTGCTTTTTTCAATAAAGTATAGAGACTAAAATGTGCTACAGTACATACACTAGGTAGACTAATTGTTAGTCAAAGCAATAAAGATGAAAGAAGGGGCACTGATTGTGAACTAGAACTTTGGGCTCTCTGTTCTGCAGCATTTGTCTATCAGAAAAAAAAAAAGTTCTTTATTCGTATTACATTTTGTTTGCATTGGGGATAATTTTTCTCACACTTATGAAAACTCTCTCTTACCATGTGGGAAAGATGTTCCTTTTTTAGGTTTGTTTTGCAATTAGAGCACAAATTAGAAAATAGGGGTAAAGCAACGTGTTAAGGAAGCATGAAATGCAATTTTATTCTGGTAAGTTTCATTTGCATAACTGTTATTGTCACTTTTATTTTCTCATTTTCCTTACCTCTAACATCCTCAGCAGCTAAATTCACAATGAACTACGAAATGTGACAAACTGCCTTGGCAGTTCACTAGTCTGAGACACGCCGCTCGTTTTTTCAAATGTTTAGACACAGAAGGGGGGGGGCTCCAAAAGGCCCAGAATCAACCTTACAGCACATGAACAGTCACAACCAATCTGTCCCGTCTTAGTAGCTGCATGGTGGAGCAGTTGCTAGCACTGTTGCCTCGCAGCAAGAAGGTTACAGGTTCGAAACTCGGCTGCGACCTTTCTGCGTGGAGTTGCGTGTTCTCCCAATGCATGTGTGGGTTTCCTCCGGGTTCTTTGGTTTCTCCCACAGATCACAACATGCTCTATAGGTTAACTATTGTATGTCGCTTTGGATAAAAGTGTCTGCCAAAAAAATAAACAAACATACTAGTTAAAAATAGATTATGATGTCATGTCACAATGCATTCTGGGAGGTAGCCCTAGACAAACAAATGTGCATTTTGCATGGGTGCTTATAGGTCTGAGTTGCTCCACTTGTCACAAAGTTGTATTTTCTTCTACTAAAGGGGAAGGAATTAAGCACCGCTGTTAGGGGTTGTGCAAATCAGAGTCAAGATTCCCAGATCAAATGTCAGAGGGGACATTTGTTATCCCTGTACTGTCCATGACAATACGACCCCACTGGAAAGGGAACGGATACAAAGCAAAGTAGTGGCAGTTTTTATGTGGAAGAGCAGATTTTCACAGTGTGGAGCA